TCAGTCTTTTATCTTCTCGCCCTTTTGAAGAAGAGCCTTTTCATCTCTTTGAGCTTCTTCTGGTGGCTTGATTCTAGAACTAACTATCCTGGTATTTACGCCCAGAGTTCAAATCCTTTTCAGCTTAAGACTTTCTACATAGAATTTCCTGGTCCCCTTGGAGGACTCCAACCCACCCATCAGAGAATGAGTATTTCATGCATAAATACAAAGTAGACAAGGCAGTATAATTGCTCTTTCATAAGTTCTCTGAACCTTCGGCACTAGGTACACACTCTTTTACATCTTGTTCATTTTTCTTAGTGTTGCTCTTCTCGCCCTTTATGTAGCATTCCGCCGTTTTGGACACTTTTGCTAACAAAGAAGTTGGTCTATAGGCAAGAGAATCATTGAAGTGTCCTCATTTGAGACCATTCTAGAACGCCACTCGGTCATTTCATGGTTTGGGTGAACGAACCTTATGCTAGCCTCATTGAAACAAATGAGGTATTTCCTCAGTGACTCTGAGGGCCTATGTTGTATGTTGAATAGGCTAGTGGTGGATATCTTCCCGTGATGGTTGTTTGCAAACTGATATATGAACTTCTTCACCAACTCTTAATATATGAAGATGGAAGCTCGGGTTAAACCCATGTACCATCAGAAGGCCGCGTCTTTTAAAGTGCTAGACAACAGTTTGTACTTTGAGTCAGGTGCTTTGATAAGGGTCATTTGCGTGTCAAACTTCGCCAAAAAGGGAGGCTTGGACCCTTCGGGGACATGCGCTTCCTATATTTCGTCTAAAAGTAGTTGGGGGGGGGGGTCAAACACTTGCAACTCCTCTAGGGGTTAACCTCTTGTTGGCGCTGTTGGATGTTGAGGAAGTTGTCTTTCAGACTCTAATTCTGACGGCGTAGTTCGTCCATGGCGATATGCATCTCTACCTTGACATTGACATCACTTTTACCTCTGGTGTCTTCCGATGTAGGAGATTGTGCTCTCATAGTAACCATGGTTGGGAACAATTAGGTTTAGATGTAGAGATGACAGTGAGTAACAAGTGGAAATTATAACGAAAAGTGTGTCTCATATTAGTTTTACTAGTGTCCTACGGTGGGTGCCACACTGCCACTATACTTGTGAAAAAGTACAGGATGTATGGTACCCCCTAAGTTAGTAGGGGTGATCAAAGACCTTATTATTTTTCTGATGGTTTAGGGTTTACTCGCAACGACAAGAGACCCTATTTAGTGGTGTTAATGGTGATGAGAGAGCAAACTCATATGAGGTGAGAAAATCTATAGCTATTAGATGTGTATTGTGTGTACTTATGATCTTTCATCCTTAACCTTGTATTTATAGAGGTGTGTGAGCCTAGGATTCAGGAATCCCTAAAGAAGTGGTAACCGCCCCCTTGACTGGGAGGACTATTAACTGCCTACTTTCTAGAGAGTCATGACATGACTCCACGCATACAGTTAAGAACTGGATAAACAATACTCCCTCCGTTTTAAAATGATTGTCGTTTAAGGTTTTTGAACACATATTAAGGAATGTAATGATATTGTCATAAGATATTATACTTTTACTAAATTAGTTTTATTAATGTGTTGGAAATAGTGTACAGAATAATAATTATATGACACAATTGGAAAAATAACAATTATTAGTACATTGAAAAATGATAATGACATTCATTTTGAAACAAAATTTTTTCCTTAAAACAACAGTCATTTTAAAACGGAGAGAGTATTATCCATATCTCCCCTTGGAGTGAACCCCCGTGCCATGTAAAGGAAACACTCTGGATAATACCTCATAGAGTGGTTGTCCAACGAAGGACATTTGTAACCCTTACAAAAATATTACTACAATACCAGCTAAACTACCTTATTCACCTTAAATTAGCCAATTATTTTGAGATATTATTGTTATACAAAGAGATTATTTATTTCGAGATATTGTTGTTATACAAAGAAATTATTTATTTCATAATTGAGGAAATAAGAAAAATAGTAATTAAAAAAATACAGTTATTATTTTTATTATATCAATAAAATTTAAAGATAATTACGACTATTCTTAATAAGTGTAATAATTTTGTCTTACTTGAAGAACAAGATGAGTTCTCTATCTGTTTCTTTTAATAAGCATCCGTTGACATTTTTAACATTTATTAGAAGTAAAATTGAGAGTGTTACTCGTCATCTTTCCTTTTAACTGTCGCATTTACAAAGAAAATTTGTGTTTCAATTAACTTCATTATATTTTGAATTCAACACACTTTAAATTTCCCATATTGTTTTTAGTTATTTATTACATAAAAAAAGAGTTTAAATAAGATAATATATTGTTATAAAGTTCATTAAAAAAAGATAAATAGTTTTATACAAATCAAAAATTTCATTATGTACATATTAAAAAATCATTAAAAAAACAAAGGAAAAAGATTAAGTATCTCAAAATCATTTTTTCCCCAAAAAAATATCTATAAAAAATATTAAAACAACTATAAATGTATATTCCAACCGGTTTCAAAAATTAAACAAAAGTTGGTAAAAAAAATATTAAAGTCTAAATTTTTGTTTATACTTAAACCAAAGTAGTATTTGATTAATTTATTTGATTTCAAATAATTTATTAGCTAAAATTTTATCGTTTAAAAATGAATTAATAAAATATTACAAATAAAATATTAAAATAGCTAACAGTTAAATAAGTCGTCCTTAGGACACCAAGCCTATATTTGATCTATCTTTATGATTCGTAAGAAATGGTGTACCCTCTTGTCCTCCCTTTCATACCATTTTGCTTATAGAGCAAAACTAAAGTTAGGTAGCAATTAATTTATCTAATCTCCAATGAATTTTATGTGTATAAAAATTCATTATAATATAACAACTTTATAAAAAGTGTATTATTTTATATCAATATTCTTACCATTAATAATATAATAAGAGATAGAAAATAAATTTGTTTTATAATTATATAATATTATAAATTTCTTGTAGACAAATTATATAAACATATGCTTTATAATTAAGTATGGAAATTTGGTTTGGATCTGTATTTAAAACAATGTTTGAATTTAAAGTAATGTACAAACCGATAAAACTCAAATCAATTTGCTTTTGTTGGTAATCTCATTATCTTTTAAAATTGGAATCCAACAAATTAATCGATTTAGTTAATTTAAAACACTTTTTCTTTTTAGAGTATGCAAAAATTTGTTTGAGAATATAAAAGTTTTTTTTAAAAAAAGTTAATATGAAATTTGGGTTGAAAATGAGTCGAGTTGAGTTGAATTTGTATTCGACTCATTTAAAATTTGTTTAATTTAAATATCGGTTTGAATTCGACATACATTTTTTTAAATTCAAACTCAAATTATTATAAGTTCACGAACAATTCAGTTCAATTTATTAGGTTTTTATCTTGTTAAATTCAACTCGTTTTCTTCTTGAATTTAATTTATTTTTTAAAAAGTAATATTTATATGGTGTTGATTTTGTTTGTATAATTAGTTTTAAAATATTTTGCTCACTATCAATTAAAATTGTTAAATTAAAAGAAATATAGGACTAAGATTTGAAGTAAATTTTTAAACCTAAAAGAGACATATAACTCTTCTCATATTTAATCAAATTGATTAATGAATCTAATGAATCAAACTATATATATACTTTAAGTACAACTTATTTAATTAAGAAATATATAAATGATCAATTTTTAATGGTTAGATTAAAAGAAATACTAGGATTAAGATTTGGATTAAAATTTTAAAAATAGAACTCTTTATATTTAATCGAGTTGATTAATTAACAAAATGAGTCGAACTATATATAAATCAAAATCAACTCTTTAATTAAGAAATTTTATTTTATTTTACCAATATTCAACTCATTCTAACCTGTATTCAAATTAGTTCGATTCATTATCAATTTTATATAGAATAAAATAAAATTTTAAAACTATCATTTTTTAAACAAAACTTTTATAATTTTAATAAAAAAGTGTTTAAAACCGATCAATTAAATCAAAGTTAATCAAATTAATTAATCTTTATTGATTTAATTTGTTTTTTAATCAAACCAAAACACATTGATTATTAATCTCGTTTGAATTTTTAATTTATTCAATTTTTTATAATCGGCTTACAGCATTAATTATAAGCAAGAAAATATATTTGGAAGTTAAATGTAATAATTTATATTGATGATAAACCTCATAAAATTTGAAATATCAAAATAAACACCATTTAACAAAAATATGGTTTCTAATATAGTCAATAGAAAAGCCATACATTTAAACTTAAAAATTATAGTGATGAGAAAACTATAGATGAAAAGCAGTAATAATTCTGAAGATAAAAGAGACAAGGTGTCACGAAAAGTAGCGGGTTTTCCGGTAAAAGGACGAAATAGCGCAAAAGTTGTTTGTTATATCACGTGTATGAAGTTAGACCGTACGATGATAATTAAGAAAAACTACAAACCGTTAAGATAAATAAATAACAACCATTCCATTAGAATGTTTTAGAGTGATAGTGGAATAGTAACAAAAACTTACACTGTGATGGTGCCAAGATAGTCACAGAAAAATTCAGACACATAAAGGGCAAGTGTTCAGAACTCAAAAAAAAGGTTAATAAACACTCTCTGCTTAACCTTCAGAGAGAAAATTGTAGCCTTAAATTAGAGCGAGACAGAGAAGTGGGCGTGGCGGCGTTTGCAGTTCTTTTTTCATTAATGCATCTTTGTTGTCTAGATAGAAACAGTACCGATTTCAATGCGTGGTTAACACTGTTCCCTCAACCAACGAACAAACCTTCAATTCTGCCCTAGTAGTTAATGTAAGAGATGAAGAACAAATTTCAAGACACAAATATTTAAACCTCTGTTTGAGGTGGATTAATTAGGGTTAAATTTGATTGGTCATTCTGGTTTTCTCTACTCAATAAGAACCTCACCGATTGACAGTTTTCTTGATATGGATTTTCGTTTAGGTTTAGGAGTACTAGAATGGCCGGTATATTTTCATTAGGAACTGGAGGGAGGTGTGAGGAAGAAGATAACCAAGAAAATAACACTATCAATATCAATCCACCACCACCACCCGGACCTGAATTTTGGTACAATAACCCCAACAAAACCGATGATTCTGTCGCCGGATACCGTGGTTTTGAGATTTGGAACCAGCAGCAGCAACACCACCAGTTTTTGCCTCTACAGCAAGATCTTTACACTGGTGTTGCCTTAGGAGTGGGCCCTAGTAGGGTTTTATCTTCTGATGACAATAGATCTGCGTTTGTCGTGGCTTCTGGAGCTGTTGGAGGGATTAGCTGTCAAGATTGTGGGAATCAGGCCAAGAAAGACTGTCCTCATGCACGCTGCAGGACTTGCTGTAAGAGTAGAGGCTTTGATTGTCAAACTCATGTGAAGAGCACTTGGGTTCCTGCTGCAAGAAGAAGAGAGAGACAACAGCAACAACTTGCTGCTCCCAAACCACCACAACAATACGGAGATACCGTTACTGAAACCAGACAGAGAGATCTTAACAACAACCAAATCCCTAATTCTGCTTTGGCATGCGCTCGTTTACCTCCAAACCCTTCAGGTATATATATCTATATAATTATAGTTATAAACATCCTTGTTGATGTTTCATTTGTTTTCTCTGTGTCATCACTCATCAAATATGTTGATCTATTACCATGCATGTGTCATGCGCTACCCTATCTCTACTTAAATCTCTATGATCTATTGACTTGAGACTTGTCAAGAGATTTGTTTTCGTTTTTTGTTTTTGAAAAAGATATGTGGAGGTACCGAGAAAGTTTTCGATTGCGTGTATCAAGTGAGAAATTTTTGTTACCTTTTTCTTTTCCGAAACACTGTTTTTCAGTAACCCTGACGAAAGAAGGAAGTGACAGGGAAGAGAAGAAGCTGTTACTGTTAGTTTCTGCAAAACTGTTGTTTTTCTTTCTTTCCTAACACTCACTCTCTTTTTCTTTGTTCATGCATCTTATCATGTGTGTGTTTGTGTGATGTGTTATATCAGAGTTATCACTGTATGTGCACATGTAATGTAATGTTATATTTTATTTTCTTTCTATAAAGCTGTTTTTATAACTATAGTTTGTTATTTTTTTGGTTGGAAAAATGATAAAAAAGGGTTAATAGACGAGGCGAATTTTCCGGCTGTGGTGAACTCTCCGGCGGAGTTCAGGTGCGTGCGAGTTACTTCCGTTGAAGACGCTGAAGAGGAAATTGCATATTCAACTGCTGTGAACATAGGAGGCCATGTTTTCAGAGGAATTTTGTATAATTATGGTCCTGATATGAATAACAACTATATCTCTGCCGGAAACACCCCTCCTAGCGGTGGCGAAGCGGCGGCTCTTCCGTTGAATCTGATCTCACCTGTCCCAGGGGAACAACTCGTTGATCCTGCCATGTATCCAGCTCCACTCAACACTTTCATGCCTCCCAGTGGTACGCAATTCTTCCCCAACCCAAGATCTTGATCAATCTTTTCATCAAAGGACAACATAAATTATTAGCAAAAATAAAAGCGTATTTTCATTTTGTTGTATGTTATGATTTATTTTAATCACTGTACTCTTTGTTATAATAATGGGTATTATGGTCATGAATATTATTATCATTTCATAAAAAGTTTTCACTTTATCTCATAATCTTGGTTGCTGTAGTTAACTAGTAGTTAGTAATAATAAATTTAATTTGATACTACATCCAAAAAAAACTCGAAATCATTCAAGAGGGACAATCTAGACCCTAGTCTTATCAATAGAAATTTAAAACATAAAAATACTCAATTGATAAATCCTACTGTATTTGGATTATCATAATTTCATATAAAAATTGTTTAACTTACCTAAAAAGTTGTGGTTAGTTTAATTATTTTTGAAATGTATTTTTAATTGTTTTTTTTAATCTTATAGAGATTTTCTATATTCAATATTCACTCGATTTGATTGAGATTTAACTTAAAATATTCTTTATTATTTATTGTTTTTAGTTAAAAAAATTAGTTGATAAAACTTCAATTAACACTGACTTTTTTTTAATAAGTCACTATATAAGATGGGGAATAAAAATAAATTATAAATTATTTACAATACTATTAATATTTTAATTCAATTTTTCTTATTAAATTTAATTAATTTTTAATTTGTTTTTCTTATACGGTTAATGAAGTTTAATTTTTTAAAATTATTCTAAAATTTAATACAAATTAAATATTTTTTAATACGTATGAAAATGTTAGAATGATACTTAATAAAAAAACAAAAAGAAATATTAATATTTTAAAATTTGAAGTTAACAATAAAAAATTGATATTTATAAAAGAATAGGAATAAAAAGTACTAATATTATAATCATTACTACTAGTAACTAGTGGATCTTTTTGTATTTTTAATTTAGCTGCAATTGTTTCATTTTTTAACTCATAAATCAGATCTGATGTGAGTTTGGAGGCGTAAATGTCAAATCAAACACTTACTTTATTATTTCTCTTTTTCAAATATTAGGGTATATAATAATGAAATATAAATTTACTCAAATTAATAATGTAAGAAAATAAAAGAATATAAAATTTTTCCCTTTATTTTCTTCTTGATAAAGATAACTAGCTAGCTATATAGCCCTTTTTGTTTTGTTTCTTTAGTTATTCGTACAAAATATAGTGGAGTGGACATGATCTGTCTCTAACTAGTATTGTTGTGCGTACTAGTACTTCTTTCTTTATTTTATACTATAATTTTGTGTTTGTTTTTTCTTTCACGTTGAATATCTATCACATTTCCTGGTTGATTTTCAACTCCAAAGCTACTTTTTCCCTTAAATCCGTTTGATTGCTGGTTCATATAGTTTTTATAATTATAACCATACTAACTATCCGGAAGGATTTCCTTTTATATAGTTTCTTAAAATTGAATTCTAATATCTTGTTCCCATGTGATGTTGAAATTCTATTTTCTTACTGTATTCAATCTCACCTTGCATATGCATAGATGTGATGTTGATTACTGAAGAGAATGTTGCTTATAAAATGTTGATATTTAATACACATGCAACCAGAACTATACGTATATAGAGGAACACTGCATTTTTTTGTCTATGGAGTACAACACATAAATAAGGGATAAGTGAAAACTGTTGATGGATTAATGAAGACTATAATAAGTAAAACAAAAAGAATGGCTATAAGATGTGCATGTCAGCATTTTCCGTAACCTTTGATGCAACATGTTTCTCTTCTTCAGTAGTCACCCACCCTTGTACTCTCAAAACTAGTTTTTTTATTGCTTTCTATGTATTTTTGCCATATAATTTATGGTCAACAGTAACATTGAATCAGACCCCCACACAATTTAATTTTACTACTTATAATTTTATTATGAGTTATAAAGAAAATGCTAGAGTATTTATGAATTAGGGATCTGGTTGACATAAAATCCAGTGCTTCTTGACTCTTCTGTTTTGCATCTGTTTTTGGGAAGGTTCATCACTCTAGGTGATTAATTTCACATTTCATATGCATTGTGTTTTAGTCCTCTCATTTTGTTAAGAGTCCTGTTATTTTATGTCTTACTTTAATCAAGTTTTAAGATTTAAATCTATTAAGATATGAAGAGTGTTATATTTGGAAAGATTTTTGATAGAATCTATAAAAAAATATCAAAAAGATGTAATAAATTTTGTATTGATGAAAAATAAAATTTAGTTATTAAAGTGATTCAATGAGACTTATATAGATTAAGAATATAACTGATACTCATTTAATGTAACTAATTATAACTAACTTGCAAATTAATAAATAACTCTCATCTAGTGTAACTAATTTGTATCTAACTTTTAGATAACATAACTTAAAGTCAACAAAACTTTTAGGCAACATAACTTAAAATCAACAATGTACATTTACATTGTATAGTCACAACTCTAACAAAGTAAACAAGGCAGGTCGCAAATCCAATATTTTATTTGTCATAATTTTGATGAAAGCTTAAACTTGGAGAGTTTAAGGTATCTTTAAGGCACCAAACAACTTGAACAATCTTCTGGATCACACCGCTCTTGGCACAACATTCAATTCTCAAGGTCTTGCAACATCATAGAATGAAAATCTAAAATACGGAACCTAAAAACGGTTGCATAGAATAAAAATCTAAAATACGAAACCTAAAGGCGGTTGCATAGGCTGGATAATCAAACCAACCTTGGTTAGACACCAGAATTGAAAAGAAAACAAACAAGAACAACCAAGAGGATAATCAAACCAACCTTGGATAATCAAACAAACCAACCCAACAATATGTGAAGATTATCCTGAATTCTCATCAAACATGCTTTTGGAGAGAGCAAGGCAGAACTAGCTGCTCAAAATCAAAAGGAGGGTAACTGGTAACCCTACCCTTAATTGTTTAGTGTAATACATTTAGCATTGATCAAAATGAAAGCTTAGTCCATTAAATATATGCAATAAGACTTATAGCATACTCCTAACCCTCTAGTGTAATAAACTTTGTATTGATCAAAACAAAAGTTTAGTCTATTAAAGTTGTACAATAAAACTTACATAAATTAAGAGTAGGAATATAGTGTAACCAATTTGTAATAAGTAACTCTCTCATCTAATGTGATCAATTTGTAACTAATGTTAATATCTCTAAAAATATTTAAAAATACAAATTTTAACTAATGTTATTTTTAAAAAAAAATATTTATTTATAAGAACTTTTTGTTTTTATTTATTAATTTATCATTTTTCAATATCAATTCAAAACTAATTATAAAATTGTTAATAGTACTTTTAATTATTCATTTGTAATTTTCCTCTTCATATTTATTTTAAAGGAAAATAAAATTAAGAAACAAAGATAAAAAATACTCAAATCCAACACACAAGAAAACAATAAGAAAGAAACAAGACATAAAGCAAAGACAAAAAGAAAATGGAGACAACTCAAAATAGAGGTGCCCAAAAACGACTAAATTAGAAAAAAGTAAAAGAAACACAACCAAACCAACATGGTGCCCAAGACATTGCTCTAGAGTTCTTCCTTTCATATTTTAGAAAACAGACTCTTTAGTTTTCTTTGTACAAAAAATAAAATCTGAATCCATGTATGCCAAAAGACTTGTACTGTAGCCTGAGTTATATATAGCTCTATACTTCCTAGAAAAAACAGCTCATGCATATATGTTGATAAATAAGAAAATACAGCAAAATAATCTTTCCTCCATTCTTTCTTTCACAATGATAAACAATTCACAACACTTTACTAGTATGGATGATTGCAGAGAATTATATATATATATATATATATATATATATATATATATATATATATATATATATATATATATATATATATATATATATATATATATATATATATATATATATATATATATATATATATATATATATATATAATTCTTGGATTCTTATTCTTCCTTTTGATAAAAAAAAAAGGACTTGTATTAAAATAGCATATTCTGCCAGCTGCCACTATAAAAGCATGGAAATAAATTTCAGCCGAACTATAAATAAATTATGAAGCCTATATTTACTATTTCAAACTCTGTTCATTAAAGCATTAGAAACTATTTCAATCCAATTATTTCCCATTTTAACTACTTGTACTTTTTAAGTTTTGAATTCAACACTATCTAACACACTCAACTATTCCAAATATATTCCATGCAGCTGGCTTTTGCTATAAAAAACAAAAGCATATAATTGAGGAGATCCAACACAACTTTAAAGGATTTGAGCTAAATAGTTTAGAAAGTTAGAAGTTTCATGTTCAAATTTTGGTTTTTATTTTTTTATTTTTTATTTTTATAAACTTAATAGCTAATTATTAATATTAGCCTTTAAAAAAGCCTATATATAACTCATGTTTCTTAAATTCTTGGTATGAGGTTGTAGATAAGTTAGATATATTATAGGGTGCAGATTTGTCTTTGTAAGTATGTGAGTTTTGTTATTATAATATTTGAAAGAAAAAAAAAAACTGTAAGTAACTTGTTCTTTATTTCTGTCCTTACATTCAAAGTTTAAATTCTAGAAACTACTCACCTTGAGTTCATAGACTTTTCTTGTTGGCCCCTGGTTTAGGAGCAGTTTCTACCGAATAGGCACGCAACAAATAAGCAACTTTGTTAAATTCTTTCAACTCTAGTTTTTATGGTTGTGGTGATTAATGGTTTTTCACAACTACATATACTGCTGTAAGTGTATCATTAAGGTCAAATGGTTTTGGAGAAACAGACCCCACTTGCAATCAACTTTTTGATATAGACTTAACAGTTCACATGTCTGTGATAATTAATTACCATGCTTTGTAATTGAATGAAGTGTCTGAGTGAATTGCATGTTAAGCATTAAGAAGTAGTTAGTAGGAGTACTATGATTATGATATATTAATATATTTAGTACACTTCGAAAACATAGTTTCAGTAAAAGTTGTTGTGATTCTCATAGTCAAAG